CTTCTTCTTCTACTTTCTTCATCATCCTCTTCTTCATCTTCTTCTACTTCTTCCTCATCATCCTCTTCTTCTTCGTCATCATCATCCTCCTCTCCTTCTTCTTCTTCTTTTTCATCATCATCATCTTCTCTTCTCATCATCATCATCATCCTCTTCTTCTTCTCTTCTTCATCATCATCATCCTCTTCTTCTTTTTCTTCGTCATCATCATCCTCTTCTTCTTCTTCTTCATCATCATCCTCTCATCTTCTCTTTTTTCTTTTTTCTTCATCATCATCATCCTCTTCTTCTTCATCATCATCGTCCTCTTCTTCTTCTTCATCCTTTCTTCTTCTCTTCTTCTTTTTCTTCTTTTTGTCTTCCTCTTGCAGGTCACTGCTCATGCGCAGATTTTTTATCGGTAAAAAATCGGCCGATTAGCCCATTATTGTCTCAAAAATCGGCCGATCGCCAAAATCGGCCGATTTTTTTCCAACTTTCCCGATTAAAAAAAAACGGCCAAAATACCGAAAAAAAACGGCCGAACAAATAGCCCACTAACGATCCGAAAATCGGCCGATTTTATTTTCGGCTGAAAAATCGGCCGATTTTCGACCCATCTATGGCCTGCATTAGTCATCCCAGCACACATGGACGTCAATGGTGATTGAAACGGAGCTGCTTGCATTACATGCCACAGAAGATTATGAGCAGGCAGGTAGTTGTAATTTATTGCAGAAGAGACATTGCATGTCTAATTTGTGCTAAATAGCCTGCCTGCTTATAATTTTATTTTTTTAATGTCTTCAATTTTGCTTTAATAAAGCATTAATGATAGTTTTCAGGTGTAGCTCTCTTTAAATCTACCTACACCTAATTAAGGCAAGTATTACACCAGTTTTGATACCATTACCAATAAGGTACCACCACAGGTAGATCTTGTTACCACCACTTAAGGGACCAGTCGCTATGGCAGTGACAGATTCTTAAAAATTACCGCCAGTTTGCAGATTAGAAACTGGTAGTAATTAAACTGTTTCCAAAGGATACATAAGAAAAAATAACACACTTGTTATACTTATCTGCTCTGTGCAATGGGGGGACCTCTCTTCTGGGGTCCCTTACTGGAACTCCTGGCTCCTCCCCCTGGCCAACTGCCCCAGTAGCAAGCCACTTGTTATGGGGGAACTAGTGTGGGCTCGATCCTGAGCTGTGCTCTGTGTGTCCATTGATACACAAAGTGCAGCTTGGTCCCTCCTCCTGCTCCCTCCTCACTGTCTGTGATTGACAGTAGCAGAAACCAATTGCTCCTGGTGCTGCCTCTCTGTCCAGTGAGTAGACCTAGAGCCTAGAGAGCCGCTGCTGAGATCGGGGTCAGGTAAGTATATGGGGTGGAGGGTGGGGGAGTAGCTGCACATAGAATGCATTAAGTTAAAAAAACCCTGTATCTTTAGAACCACTTTCACTGCTCCCGATGGCCATGGTATCTATCGGGTAAGTGGAGCCTAAGGCTACGTTCACACTAGCGTTGTGTGCAGGCGGCAGACAGGCATTTGGGAAGCGTTTTTACCGCTTCCCAAACGCCTCTGCCAATTCTGCACATTACAGCACATGGTGCTGTTCTAACGGGAGCGTTTGCGTCACGTCGTGCAAAACGGACGCCTCTGGTCGAGTCAGGAGGCGTTGAAGCCTCCTATTCTCGTCTATGGTGCCGCTCCTCAAACGCCGGCCGGGTGTTTGCGGTGCGGTTGCGACGCGGTTGCGGGGCGTTTGCGGAGTGGTAACACCACTCAAAGGCTACGTTCACACTAGCAATGTGTGCAGGTGGCAGAAAGGTGTTTGGGAAGCGTTTTTACCGCTTCCCAAATGCCTCTGCCAATTCTGCACATTACAGCACATGGTGCTGTTCTAACGGGAGCGTTTGCATTGCGTCGTGGCAAAACGGACACCTCTGGTCGAGTCAGGAGGCGTTGAAGCCTCCTATTCTCGTCTATGGTGCCGCTCCGCAAACGCCCGGCCGGCGTTTGTGGTGCAGTTGCGGAGCGTTTGCGGAGCGGTAACACCACTCAAACTGCATTATAGGCATTTGTGGGGCATTATTAACGCTCGGCAAATGCCTAGCAACCGCCGCTAAATCACGCATGCGGCGTTTGCGGAGCGTTTGCCGATTGAAAAACGCTCCGCAAACGCCGACCAACGCTTGCCAAACGCTATAGGGGCGTTTGGCAAGCGTTGGTAAAACAGCCAAGTGTGAACGAGCCCTAACTGGGAACAAAAGACTAGTTTCCTATCAGGTCTGCCTTGCTTTTGATTGACAGTGAATGGCAGTGGGTGGATTCAAAAATCGCTATTAGACTGAATTTCAGCTATGGATCTGACACAAACACAGCTACATGAATCTGGCGCAAACACAATTTTAGGGTGAAGGCCAACAGAATTTTGTTTGTTTTGATGTAAAATGTATGTGTAAAATTCATTTTTTTTGTTATTTCGATGAGCATTATTATTGTGAATCAAAGGCTTTGCTGTGTGATACAGATTTTAGATGTGTTGCAGGAAATACATTTTATCAACAATTTTAACAAAACGAGTCTGAAAGAATTTGAACTCAGACCGTTCAAGCTACTACAGAAATACGTAGGTGTCTATGTCTTCTGCCAGCTGCTTTTACTGAAAGCCTATCTTTGTTGTGTTCAGCTAGTATTATAGAATATTGCAGTGTACTCAGGAATGTCACCAACTCCCGCTCAGTAGGCTATGCTTCTGCTCTCACAGCTATGACTGCTAGGGCAGTGTGCACCAGGTATTCATTCATAGAAAAATCACATTTGCTAATTGATGATTTCTTTGCATTAGGAGATGTGTGAAGCCTGTAAGCCTACAATAACTTTGCAGATGACTCTGAAAACTGAAGGAACAAAAAAAACTGTTACCAACACCAAACTAATCAGGCTCCCTTTTCTAATATTTTAAAAATATTTTTATTGACCTTTTTCAAATGGTACAATGTCAGAAAATATCAGAAGAATAACACACTGCATTAGAAAATGCCAACTAACCATCATGTTTTATATTGTACATCCAACAAAATAATAATTAACAAGTGAACTTAACCCATTACTGGAGTAGGAGAGAGGTAGTTGCATGCATCCCTTGTGTCTCTATGATCACTTCCCTATATGCTTATTTTTTAGAAAGGTACTGTATATGCTGTAATGGGGATAAACTACTAATTTAAGGTGATAGTCTAGTAGTATTTAGCATTTTTTCTGAGGTTGTTTGCTTAGACTCGGTTAATACAAAAGTGGTGTTAACTGATGATTTTGAGTTTGTCTGCCTCTGTTGTTAGTGTTGTCAGTTTGGTGTACCATTCCATATATCTGAAAGTGAACATTAGTTGTTAGATTTCCTTTAACATAGAATAATGTTATTATTTAGCATGTTTTGCATAGATGAGCTTTAAGTTTTGGTTAATTCTTTGCCACCTATTCAATAAAGATCTTAACCCGTTTTGACTTGGGTATAGTGTCAAATACTCCTTGATGGATTGTCTGTTTATTGTTATGAATGAACCACAAAGACCTTTAAACCATTATTTGGCCAAAAGTGAAGACCTACATGGGCTTTATGGTTGTCAGAGCCAGGAAACCAGGCCAGAGTGATTGTGAGAAATATCAAGCCATCTGGTGATCCAATGTACTGTAGATGCATTATTGAATATTTTATGTTAAAGCAGTAAGGAGATGATGGACAGTCACAATGAAAGATCTCCACTGTAGAAAGCAAATTATTGAAAATTCCAAACCAAAAGCACTATTGTGTTCCAATTACATTGATGAATAAAATCTTGCTGTGGATTATAAGGCTTTGTGTACATCCTTCTTACTTTTTAATATTTTACCTTTTATAAATGCCAAGTGACATGTACAGCCAAATAATAGAGCCTTGGAGGTATATTAACAAGGAGGAACATGTGGAAAAAAGTGTCATCAGGTTGGAATTTGAAATAAATAGATATGAAAAGCAGGTAGAGGTAGAATTTGTGCAATCACCAACAATGTACATGGAGTACCAAGATAAAATAAAGATACAAGAAGATCTAGGTCAGGGTCTTATGCACAACACCAAAGAGCCAAGAAAAATAAAGCTGGAATTAAAGGTTGAATATAACCAAATATATTCAGTTGAGAGTTCTATATCTCTAGGAGACTATATTGATGTGATCTCTGTTCTTAAATTATTTGATCTGCAAACCTGAATTCTGATTGAGTTGATTTATGGATTAATTTTAAGACTGTAAAGGGAGGTGCTGGCAAACTCTATTGTGGATGTGATCACCTAAACCACCCAGGTGGGCAGAAATGGCTAAGAATAATGGCAGGGCGATCCACTGTTGGTAATGCTACTAGGACCCCCATCTTTAATTAAATTATCATTTTCCACAATTAAGTGTAAACCAGTAATCTCAAAAAGTGCTGTCTGTCTGGGAATGGAGGATTGGGTACGTAAAACTGCTTTTCCCATCCCCTAGACATAAAGGAGAATTTGCCTTCACAGTGTGGCATAGCCCCTTTCCAAGGATTTTTACTTTATTCATAGAATTGGGCTTAGAGTTTTTAAGATACAATAAAATGAAATAAACAGAAATATTGATAAAGGGTTAGATAACAAACAAGAACAATAAAGTTCATTAAACATTAATAAATAACAGAAAACAGCTGAAGAGCCAGATTTCTCAAACTGGTGACAATTAATATATTATTATTATTATTATTATTATACAGGATTAATATAGTGCCAACGGTTTGCTCAGTGCTTTACAATATAAAGGGAGACAATACAGCAACGATACAGTTCAATACAAGGGGGTTAGGAGGGCTTCATCGAATTACAAATTAAATGGCAAAAGTAACTTATTTATTTTAGTCCTATGATAATAATTTATTGCTAAACATCTATGTTTCAGAAAAAATAAATGTTTTGTAAAGCCCTATGTACATTTTTTATTTTTTTTTTTTAAGAGAGAAGGTGAAAAAGATCACAAGGTCCGCATGGCTGTCGGCAATGGTGTTCGCAGTGATGTATGGAAAGAATTCATTGCAAGGTTTGGTAACATCAAGATGTGTGAGCTGTACGGAGCCACTGAAGGGAACATTTGTTTCATGAACCATACTGGAAAAATTGGATCTGTTGGGCGCAGTAATTTCTTTTATAAGGTACTGTTATATACTCTTCAACACAGCATTGATTATTCATTTCTTCTAGGTACACATACACACATTATTCAAGGAACTTGGCAGGTAGGTTGCTCCAAACATCTTGGAGAACTAACCACAAATCTTCTGTGGATGTAGGCTGCCTCAAATTCTTCTGTTTCTTGTGATCCCAGACAGACTTGATGTTGTTGAGATCAGGGCTCTGTGGGGTGAACCATCACTTCCAGGACATTTTTGTTGTTCTTTATGCTGAAGATAGTTCTTAATAACATTGGCTGCATGTTCCAGGTTGTTGTCCTGCTGCAGAATACATTTGGGGTCAATCATATGCCTCCCTGATGGAATGGCATGATGGATAAGTATCTGTCAATATTTCTCAGAATTGAGGACACCATTGATCCTGACCAAATCTCCAACTACATTTGCAGAAATTCAGCCCAAAACATGCAAGGAACCTCCATCATACTTTGCTGCTGCCTGTAGACATTCATTATTGTACCACTCTCTAGCCCTTCACAAACAAAGTGCCTCCTGCTACAAATGCTTTCACATTTTGACTCCAGAACAGTCCAGAACACCTGCTGCCATTTTTCTACACCCCAGTTCCTATGTTTTCAAGCATAGTTGAGTCTCTTAGCCTTGTTTCCACTTTTGAGGTATGGATTTTTGGTCGTAGTTCTTCCATGAAGAGCACTTCTGGCCAGACTTCTCCGGACAGTAGATGGGTGTATCTGGGTCCCACTGGTTTCTGCCTGTTCTGTGCTCATGGCATTGTTGGACATCTTCTGATGTTGGAGGGAAGTATGCATGATATGTCTTTCATCTGCTGCATTAAGTTTCCTTGGCCGACCACTGCGTGTAGGGTCCTTAGTGTTGCTTGTTTTTTTGTACTTCTTCAAAGAGCTTGAACAGCACATCTTGAAACCCCAGTCTGCTTTGAGATCTATGCCTGGGAGAGACCTTTCTGATGCAGTATAACTACCTTGTGTCTTGTTGCTGTGCTGTGCTCAGTCATGCCAGGTGTATGACAATGATATGAAACTGTCTTCCACAACCTCACCTTAGTAACAGATTTTGACTGTTCCAAACCCAATTTTAAGCCTCCCACACAGCTGTTTCTGTTTCAGTTAATGACTGTGTTTCAACCTACATATGCGATTGATGGTCATTAGCACATGCTTGGTATAATTGATTAATCATCCACCTAACTCTAATCTTCCAAATTCCCTAACTATGTGTAAGTGTACAAGGTGTGAAAGTGTAGGAATTGATACTGGTTTGAAGCCAAAGCGTAATCACACCAAATATTCATTTAGATTGTTTTTTCTGTTCACTCATTTTCCAATTTTTGTAAATTGATAAAAACTAACAATTAAAAATACATTTTTTGAAAGCATTCTTATTTTGCAGAATTTCTTCCCACCTACCTAAAACTTTTGCACAGTACTGATCAATTAAAAAAAAAGATTCTGTAACTTGAATCTTATTTTTTTTCTTGAAGTCACACTTATTTAGGGACTATTTAGGGACTAATGTTCAATTTAACCCCCCATCTTTTCACCTACCTTGCACATGCTTAAAAATAATTAGTTTGGTGTACTTTTGAAAATGTATAACCATTTTATTTTAAACTTACCTAAACTGGGGCTGGTGTAGGTCAATAAAGCATAATCAGCAGAATGTAAAAAAAATGTTTTCATCAGAAATTAGGATCAAGAAGCTCAATTTTTCATTCAAATAGATGTAATAATCGATAATTTGGTTTTGCAGAATACTTGACATCCATTTTAGAGATAGGGGTCTATTTATAAAAATTTACTTTGTGAACATCTCCACATTCGTGTAAGTTTAGCAAATGATACCTGTAATCTTTGTAATATGTGTATTAGATTCTTTGTTGCTTTTCATCAGGTGAAAATAACATTCCTTACCATTTGATCTTAAGAGAAAAGTAGCCTTAGATCATTCAACAATGGGAGTTAATGTTCACCAATATAGAAACTCTAACTCTATTAGCTAAGAACATTCGACCAGCAAAGGAAATGATATGATGGAAACCTCACACTGTGTACATCTATGGAGATTCCAATGCAAGAAAAAAACAAAAAAAGTTGCATCGTGGACAGAGAAGGTGATCTGGGAGAGCATGGGGCAATTACTGGAACTAATTCCCCTGTGGTTCCCTCTGCAGCAGCTGAGATCAGCCAGAAGGGAGAGGAGAACAAACTGGCTGTGCTGCAGGGGAATCCACAGGAGGATCACTTTCAGAAATTGTAACCCCCCCCCCCCACCAGCACCACACTGATCACCCTCCCTGTCCACATCCCCTTCATCCCTGCTTATCAACTAGCTGCCCCAGCAGTTGGAGTGATGGGTTTCAGGCTCCATACATAAAGGACAAAGGTACTCCCCTATTGGCACCCTGCTTCCAACATACAAGCATTGCTGAAGCCAGCAATAGTCACACAGACACAGAGATTTATAGGATTTATGCTGAGAATTGATAATGCTCTGACGAAGTCTGTGTTTCTAAAATATCATAAATAATTTTATCATTACAAATTGAAGATTTAATGAGCACTAGTAACATTATATCATTTATCTCATACACAGCTTGCATTTCCCTTTGAACTAATAAAATATGACATTCAGAAAGATGAACCAATAAAAAATAAATATGGCTGGTGTGACAGAGTCAAGAAAGGTAATCCATTTTTTTCTTATTAATTATGCTTTCTTGAGCAAATCCTATATATATTACAGTATATAATTACAGCTCATTGCACATTAAAAATATACCCATTTAAGTTACATTAATACATTTTTTTTTAAATTTTGCTCAAAGTTCCTGGACCCAGTAGAAAATGTAATTCCTGTCAGGAGGCTGCAATTATAGACCACTACAATTTATGTTATAGAAGTGATCTGTGTATAGTAGTGGGACATGCTCCCTGCCTTCGTATATACAAAGAAAGAAACGGTTGGACTTTATTGACATTGAAGGGAAACACATATATATGTAAAAAATACAAGACTTTATTACAAACGAGTTTAAAAGTATAAGTAAATAACCATGATCAAATCAAGAATGTTACCTACTGCCTTATAAACAATTTCAACTGCTAACTCACTAAACCAAAAAAATGCCCTAATTCAGAAAAAAAAATGCCCATGTTCAATTTAAACATATATAAGGATGTAAATTGTAATTGTGAGTCCTCATGAGTCAATGTGTTTCTCTTATTTCACTTCCTCAGGACTCATGAGATTTCAGCAAAAATGACAATAGAAAACAAAAGGAAATATGTACAATATATATACATAATATACACATACTGTATACATATATATGTAAAAACAAAAATTAATACTGTATTCCTTAACAGAAAATGATCAGCACCTTGTTTGAGCATACAGTATGTATGTGACATGGAGAACTCTCCCTGGGGTGGGAACTGAGATAGATAGGAGGGCAGGCAGCAACAGGGCTTGTCCTGATGATGTAAAATATGCTTGATCAGAGTACAATACACAGAGTATATCACCTAAGACCTGGGAGATAAGCACAAAAGAAACAAACGATTCCACAATATGGTATAGAGAAGGGACATCAACAGAAAAGATATCTCAGTGTAGCCATCTATTCAATGCTGACTACCAGTAAACCATTATCCGTTCACTTTCACATGGACAGAAATTCCCAATAACATATATGGACAGGTCCAAAATAATGGATGTAACATGAGAAAGAAGGAACCGCATCTCCTAACCAATCCATTGATTCTGTACTATAGTACTGGGGCCTTTGGTTCGAATCCCAACCACGGCACCACCTGCCTGGAGTTTGCATGTTCTCCCTGTGCCTGCGTGGGTTTCTTCCGGGTTCTCCGGTTTCCTCCCACACTCCAAATACATGCTGGTAGGTGAATTTGTTCCTGTCCAATTTAGCCCTTGTATGTATATGAATGTGAGTTAGGGACCTTAGATTGTACACCCCTTGAGGGTTAGGGACTGATGTGAATGTACAATATATATGTAAAGCGCTGTGTAAATTGACGGCGCTATATAAGTACCTGAAATAAATAAATAAATATACTAAAAAACACAATAGACATAGGTATATAAAGATCTTATAAAATACGAATCAGACCACGTGTCTTCATTTTACTAGGATTCCTATTCCCATATTGTCCCAGTCACTCACCTGAAAAGCGGCAACTGCAAGTGACAAGTGCTACGCCAGGACTCCCCAACCAAATATCTAGCATCTGCCCTCCTTATATGCTTCCACTGCTGGGTGCACATCCGCAGGCCGCGACAACAACAGCATGGCTGATAATGTCATCCGCCGGCGGCTACCACCACTGGGCATGCATAAACCTGTCGCCCAGGCAACAACGCATGGCCCAGATCATGCCCCCTTCACAGCGGGAAGGGCAGACAACCAGGCCCAATTATGGAAGGGGTCTACCTCCTCCACCCCCCCTCCCCCCAATGCACAGCCAGAACAGGTTGTCAGTGAAAGCCAAATGCCTGCAATTGTACCACAGAGGGACCCACCATCTGCCACATAAACCACAGGCCTGTATAAAGACGCCTTTCCTAGAATGCATAAAAATGTAAACAATCCTGGTAGACCCATCATTTTTGGGTATAGGCTCAAAAACAGAACTAGCAAGTCGCTTAGTAGATGAATATCTATGAACCCACGTTATTAGCTTTGCTTCATACATACAAGATACCTCGGATCTACCAAGAGCATTAGATGGTATTTTGGTCTCTCCAGGTTGTCTTAGTGGCCTTTGATATAGAAGCATTATACTCCTCTATTCCACATAGTACTGGCCTGAATGTAATACAGGCTTTTCTCTCAGCGGTTGGCGCTTGTCAGGTGAGTATTTAGGAGTATATGCAAATAGGCAGCCTAGCCAAGTAAAGACGTGTGGTTTGATTCGGATTGTATAAGATCTTTATATACCTACTGTATGTCTATTGTGTCTTTTAGTATGGAATCAATGGATTGATTGGGAGATGCTGTTCCTTCTTTCTCAGGTTACACCCATTATTTTGGACCTGCCCGTATATATTATTGGGGATTTCTCTCCATGTGAAAGTGAACGGAATATGGTTTCCTGAAAGTCAGCTTTGAATGGAAATAGATGGTTACAGTGAGATATCTTTTCTGGTGATGTCCCTTCTCTACAACATATTGTGGAATCGCTTGTCTCATCTTTTGTGCTTATCTGACTCCTGGGTAGGTATATCTCATAGGTCCTAGGTGTTATACTCTGCGTGTTACTGTGTAGTGTACTCTGATCAAGGCTACTTTTACATCATCAAGACAAGCCCTGTTACCGTCCGTAGGCTGTCCACCCTCCTATCTGTTCCAGTGCCTGCCCCAAAGGGGTTCCCCATGTCACATACACATGCTCAAACAAGGTGCTGATCATTTTCTATTAAGGGATAGAGTATTAAACTTTTGTTTTTACATATATATGTATACTGTATGTGTATATTATATATCTATATTCTGTATATTTCCTTTTGTTTTCTCTAGTGATTTCTGCTGAATTTTCATGCGTCCTGAGGAAACTAAATAAGAGAAATGCATTGATTCATGAGGACGCACAACCACAATTTACATCCTTATATACTGTATGTTTAAATTGAACATGGGCATATTTCCTGAATGAGATAATTTTTGTGGTTTAGTGAGTCAGCAGTTGAAATTGATTATAAGGCAGTATGCAACATTCTTGATTTTATCATGATTTGTTTACTTATTGTACTTTTTAATTCATTTGTAATAAAGTCTTGTATTTTGTACATATATGTGTGTTTCCCTTCAATGCCAATAAAGTCCAACCATTTTCTTCTTTGTATATACGGTTATCATGGATGTAGCAGATGAGCTGTTCATATCATCCATGCTCCCTGCCTTGTGACCACTACAGTGCTGAAATCAGCAGAGAGCGTGAGGATTAAAGCAGCTTTTAGCGATGGTGTTTTGTATGTAATTCACACAAAGTACACTATCTGTCTGAAATTAGAATGCACTCACTTTGTCTCTGTGGTTTTCCTCATTATACTCAAGTTTCTTCCCAAACTCAAAAAATTATACTCGTAGTCTAACTGGCATGTGATCAGACTGACTTTAGGGTATGTATGTGCACATTGATGGCAATTGCAGAGACACTGATATCACTGCTTCAACTTTCCAACCATTTTCATGGGCTCAGCAATAGTTTTACACAAGTACTAAACACTGCTTCAGATAATTACACAGCTCTGAATTACAGCAAAACAGTCTCTGAAAAAGAAAACAGACCAGAAGCATATATGATAGCTCCTAACAGAGTTTCATCAAGTACCATAACAGATCGGCAGCACTCCAAGACCACAGTATCGGTCTCCCAGGTTTACACTCTGTATTCAGGTTCTAGCATATATTGTTCTAAAATATAGATATAGAATACAAGTATTGTTGTAAACTGGCCCTACTTCTCCTTTAAAATGAAAGACAGGCCTAAGATCAAATCCCCACCCATCAGTCATCTCCCTCTGACATGTTTCACCCAGATTGGGCTTATTTATAGAGTCAATTAGTAGAGTCTCTACAATTAAGCCCAATGTGGGTGAAACATGTCTGAGGGGTGTGACCAATGTGTGGGAATTTAAGCTGAAGCATGTCTTTCATTTACTGCACACTGAAGTTGGAATACAGTGTGTGGCGATACTCGTATGCTATAGCTTTTCATCAAGGTTTGCAGTCGCTAATATGACAATCCAGAACTACCAGTTCTGGAAATTTAGAATGAAGAAGGTATAAGGAGTGTATACAAGAGCACAGAACAAACCCACCTACAGGAGTGGACAGAACCGGTAAAAGAAATTTGGGAAGGCCTACGGAAAAAACAGAGATAGAGAGCACATCTTAGCAATAATCTGTACTTCATTAGAAAGTTATACCAAACTAAGCTAATAAAAGACCAGCACATGTAGGACTGTATAAGATGTACTTTAGACATTGTAGAACGCCTGCGAGCTATAGGAGAAGAAATAAAAGATTTTCATTTAACAGCACTGCTACTTGGTGGTCTCCCAGCTATGAGACACTTGTCACGGCACTTAATGCTGACCCAGATGATGAACGTACCCTTGAACATGTTGACGGCAAGCATGTGGATGGATATAAGCTAAAAATAGAAAGTGCGAACAGTAAAAATGATCCTAATAATAGTGACATGAATCACGAATCACATGAATGTTTTATGTGCAGAAATACAGATCACTTAAAGCAGAACTTCACACAAAAGGGGAAGTTCGCTTGTCTGCCTGCCTCCCCCCTCTTTAAGTTTTAGCACCTAGTTTTTCTGGGGGGAATGATTGACAGGTACCTGCTCCCACTTCCGGTCAGATCACTGCAGCAATCTGAGTGTAAATTTGATCCCCCCCTTCCTCCACAGCCTTCTGGGACACATCACAGGTCCAAGAAAACTGTAGGATCATTCATAAAGCACAACGCAGCTCATGTGTGGGTAGGTGCAGCAGGCAGAAAACACACAGAGTCCAGGTGCAGTAACAGGAATATATTGTAATGGCAGTTCAGTAACACAGAACAGACCCAGCGGGAAGGCAACCAGGAACGGCTTAACAGTCTACAAACATCCTATTGCTGCTTAACATGTGGATTCCAAAAGACACTATTGTATGCTGTGTTCCTGTTCTTGACAGTAAAATGTCAGCTGCTCCCCTGCTTTCTGTTTCCCAAAGTAACTGGGGAGGTGTATCAGTACCTACCAGTCTTTGTGCTGCTCTAGAGGTTGCTGCAGCAAAGCACTCTGTTCTAATGCTAAATACTATGCTTGTGTGCCACGTGTTCGTGCTTGCCTTTGCCCGGAGCAACCGGAACAACATGCAACTCAGTGGACTACATGTACCCAGACGCATCATGTCAAATGAGCCCAGTGACTTTACTTTTACAACCGCATTTAGCATGGGGTGTGACCTATGCCTTGGTGTTGTCCGTAGCAGCCGCTGCAGACCATCTCCTTTGCAACCACTATTGACACCCAGTTGTCCAGTGATGACTGGCACAAGGTGTCTTGTCCTTGCCAGCAGACTGATTAAGTGTTACTGCCAGGATGCAGCTATAACAACACTAGCAAACCAGTTGGCTGGCTCCCACCCAGAGTGACAGGGGTTAACACCCACGCGGGAAAGTTCCTGTCTGGCTGGCACCAAAGAGTCACCCAGTACACACATCACGTGGAGAGAGAGAGGAGCAAGATGGACGGTGCGTTGCAAGTCTTTCTGAAAGTTTTCATACCAGAGATCACTTTGGTGGACATGGGAGTCCACCTGAAACATTGTGGATGCTTTGGCCTGGGGTTGGTTGAAGGGATGAAGAGACTGTGCCTGATGTGTCCTGAAGCAGGAGACCAACCGTCCTGATCAGAGTCTGGGTCAGGTGCAGGCACTGTGGAGAGCCACTCAACAAGCTGATACCCAGCGGTCTGGTGACTCGCATCTACAGTGTGGACCTGCAAACAGGACTATGTACAGAGAAGTCGAAAAGTCAGAATCGGAGAGCCGGAGGATGAACAGAGCCCAAGTCACTGAATGGGGTTGAGTCCCGGAACCATGATTCTCCTGCACCTATGGCGGATCCTTACAGTGGAGGAAGGCTGCCTGCCATCACCCACTATCCAGATAAAATGCTGCTGGAGGACCAGTGCCCACAAGTGCTACCCTGAAAGAACCAGCGGATGCCCAGGACCAGCCGGCCTTGCCACCCAGCCCTGACTGTTCCGCCTGGAAGGAGCCTAGCTGCGAGGATGCCCAGTCCTCATGTGAGCCAGCGGAAAGTGTCAGTGGTGGGGGGATAGACTGGGAGTCACCTAAGCTAATAGCAAAGTTTGGGCCCCTAGAAATTGAGGAATGGGACTGGGGGAACACCATGGAAGACCTGGACTCGCTGACGGGACCCTCAGGAGATCCTCTTTCACCAGATTCAGCTGCACGGTCTTTCAGGTCAGAGCCTGTTAGGATCCCCAGCCAGGTCCCACCACAGTTCTCCTCACCTTGGCCTAGGACCAGGGCCAAGAACCCTACTTCACAAACTTGGATCCTTTGGTCCCTTCAGTCCTGTGTGCAGCCAGGACTAGGGGTGTCAGGGAACGAGAAGATCGAACTAATAAATACCTCATCATTAGCAGTTAGATCAGTCGTGTGACTTCTATCAGTGTCTAGCCCAGAACTAGCTAAAGCTTGTAGGAGGAGTTTTCTTTCTGCTCTAGGAGAATGGAAATCCGCTGACCTCTGTCTGGACAGTGCTGATCACATGCACTCTCCCAAGAAAAAGAAACCCTATCTAGCAATACACACCAAACTGAGCATGTGCATGTGGCTAGGGTACAGTCTGTCTTATCAGGAGATAAGACTTGGACATTTGAACAAGAGAAGGGGCAGAGATAAAGGATCAAACAGCCTTTTTACACAATGCAGAGGATTAACCCCTTAGGTTCCACAATGATTATAACAAGCATGCTTTACTGCATATACAGACTGATTTTACTGTTGTGGGCTTAGTAACACTTTAGCACACTATTAAAAGTCTACCAGCTCAAAAACAGTGGTACTTAAAGGAAAAGTACAGCCACAGCTCTTTTGGCTGTACTTCTCCTGCGGATCATAGAAGTGCAGTTCATTTTGCACTCCTGTGACCCGTTTTCATCTGACAGCGTGTCGAAGCCTGCTGTCGGCTGATGTCACTCAGCCGGTCCAGCCAGGGGAAAGATCCTGACTTTAAATTTGGGATCCACCTCAGAGTCTAGAGTGGCACCTGTCTCAGCCTGTCATTGATCTGCCTGATTCAGCAGCTCCCTCCTCCTCCACAGCCCAGTGCTCCAGTGAGCACGGGGGAGAGGACAGAGCAGACAGCGGTGACTGGCAGTCACCGCTCTCTGCTCAGAGCGGCTGTGGGAACTCAGCGATCAGCGATCATGTGATCACACTTATAGCCAGTGGGGGACAGATGCAACATCTGTAAATATGATTGGGGGGAAAAAAAGCCATACTTCTCTTTTAAATAAAAAAAAATGCATTGGCAATGCTAATATATCCTCTGTTGATTTACGTTAATTGTGAATTTTGATGTTAGGTCAACTTTAAAGGTGATCTGCCAATAAGGAAAACAACTAAACTTATTTATGGCTGTCCTTGGTCATTTGTTCACCACTTAATAATATCATTGATTCCTATTTGCTTTCTATACAATAGGTGAAACTGGTCTGCTCATATCTAAAGTGAATCACGCCAACCCTTTTTTTGGTTATGCTGGAAATAAAAAACACACAACAAAAAAGTTAATGTGTGACGTGTTCAAAAGAGGAGATGTTTATTTTAATACCGGTGACTTGATGATGCAGGATCATGATAATTTTCTGTACTTCCGAGACAGAATTGGAGATACTTTCAGGTAATATATTCGTCTATTTTGAATATTTTGAGTTTTCACTTAAAAAATAAATGGCATATTTATGCAGTTTTTCAACTAACAATGTATTTTTCATGCAAATCAGGGATGCTTTTTGGAACCAGTCTGCTGTGTTTAACAATACTCCAAAATTCCATTTACCCTCATACATTTAGCAGACAATGGTTAAGGAACTTGTTGTAAAAGCAGCATACAGAAAAAAAAAACAGTGAATCTATTCTGAACCCCACTCAAGTAAGAAGGACCCATAAAGTGATTCCACATCAATTATTCATAGCTTTGGCAAAGTTCCTTTCAGACTTTTACCTGCTCTTGCTTGATGGAAAACAGATTCTAGTCACTTCCTGCTTTGTCTGAATTTAAAGTGGAAGACAAGTCAAAACCTAACTAAGCTTAAAGTGGAACTGAAGTCTCGCTGTACAAAACTGCAAGCAGGCAGGCTTTTATTGTGAAAGAGACATGCAAGAACATCCTGCAATAAAATGTGCCTACCTACCTTCTCGCAATCTCCTCCAGCACTGTAGACTGTGCTGCAGATGCACAGCTCTGCTTACAGTGCTGGGCCGCCCTCCGAATGCTGGGATGACAGCGTCCTACACATTCACAAGAGTGACATCACCCCCCACCTATCAATGAAGAGGTACAAAGACTGGCACTCAGAAGATGCCAGCACAGGACCATTTGACAGGTAAGTACCATGATACTTACCTGTCAAATGGTCCTGTGATAGGGCACTATTTCTCCCACTGATACCAAAGTTGAGACACTATTCCTCCGACTGACACTAATGATGGGGCACTATTCCTTGCACTGACACCAGTGATGGGACACTATTCCTCACACTAACATCAATGGTGGGGCATTATTCCTCCCACTGACACCAATGATGGGGCACTATTCCTCCCACTGACACCAATGATGGGGTACTATTCCTCCCACTGACATCAATGACGGGGCACTATTTCTCCCACTGTCACCAATGATGATCCACTACTCCTTCCACTGACACCAATGATGGGGCACTATTCCTCCTGCTGATACCAACAATAGGACACCATTCCTCCCTCTGAAACAAACCACGGGACACTATTCCTCCCCCTATTACCAAAGATGGATCTTTTACTCCTCCTCACACCAGGATAATTGTTACTTCCAATGGCCACAGTCTGGCCCCCCTAAAGTGTGAAGAACAGCAAACTGGCCCTTTGCTCAGAAAGTTTGGTCTAGGGGAAAGAAGGGAAAGGGGAGACATGATTGAAACCTTTATATACATCAATGGGGTGAATAGGGATTAAGAGGATAGTATTTTTCAATATGAAACCAAGATCAAGAACACGGGGACATAACCTCAAACTAAGAGGAGGAAAGTTCAAAACTAATCTTATAAATTATCATTTTACTGAAAGGGTAGTTGATGCTTGGAAAAGACTTACAGCAGAGGGGATTTAAACTTGCTTGAGACAAACATAGATCTATACTCACACAAAAAAAACAAAAAAAAAAAAAAAAAAAAAAGCAAAAAATAATAAAAACATGTATAAATTAAAAAAAAAATAAATGTAAAAAAAACAATCTACAAAAGGACAGACTCGATGTGCTATTTGGTCTGTTTCTGCCATCACTTTTCTGTGTTTCTATCCAATTGAGTTAAAGAGGAACAGTGTAAATGTGCAGGTTTTAGAGGGAAATAGAGGTACTGATAATTCTGTAGAACATTATGCAACTGGGCACTCTGTGCCTCTGTGACTCAGTGTCATCACAATAAGATTGTTTGTCAAAACACAAAATAACCCGGGGATACAACAGAAAGCACAGTATGTAAAATGTCAAGCCAATGGCAGCAGTTTTCAGTTTTAGGTCAAAGATCTTGGAGTTTTCTTGTTCCAAGATCCTATAAAACATCTTTATACAGGGTGAGGCAACATAACTTCCTTTTTTCAAAATGTAATAAAACCCATTTTATGAATCAGAATTGTTTTTATTGTCTTTAATAATGTACAGTTGCAAGAAAAAGTATGTGAACCCCTTGAGATTACGTGGAGTTTTGCATGAATTGGGCCTAAAATGTGCTCTGAACGTCATCTAAGTCACAACAATAGAAGAACACAGTCTGCTGAACATAATACTACACAAACATTAGATGTTGCCATGGTTTAATTGCACATAACATGTAAACATACACAGTGCAGGGAGGAAAAAGTATGTGAGGCCCTTAGCTTAATGACTTCTCCCAGAGCTAATTGGAGCCAGGAGTGAGCCAACCTTGACTCCAATCAGTGTGATGATATTGGATGTGTTGCTGACAGCTGTCCTGCCCTTTAAAAAAACACACCTGTTTTGGGTTTGCTGGTTTCAAGAAGCACTGTCTGATGTGAACCATGCCTCGCAGAAAAGAGCTCTCGAAGACCTACGATCAAGAATTGTTGACTTGCATGAAGCTGGACAGGGTTACAAAAGTATCTCCAAAAGCCTTGATGTTCATGTGTCCACGGTAAGACAGACTGGTCTACAAATGAAGAAAGTTTAGCACTATTGCTACTCTCCCTAGGCGTGGTTGTCCTGTAAAAATGACTGCAAGAGCACAGCGCAGAATGCTGCATGAGGTAAAGAAGAATCCCAGAGTATCAGCTAAAGACGTACAGAAATCTCTGGCACATGCTGACATTTTTGTTGACACATCTACAATAAGGAAAACATTAAACAAGAATGGAGTACATGGGAGGACACCACGGAGGAAGCCATTGCTGTCCAAAAAGAATATTGCAGCACGTTTGAAGTTTGCAAAAGAGCACCTGGATGTTCCACAGCACTACTGGCAAAATATACTGTGGACAGATGAAACCAAGATTGAGTTGTTTGGGAAGAACACACAACACTATGTGTGGAGAAAAAAAGGCACAGCACACCAACATCAAAACCTCATCCCCACTGTAAAACATGGCGGAGGGAACATCATGGTTTGGGGCTGCTTTGCTGCCTCAGGGTCTGGACGGATTGTTGTCATTGATGGGAAAATGAATTCCAGAGTTTATCAAGACATTTTGCAGGAAAACGTACGACCATCTGTCCGCCAACTGAAGCTCCGCAGAGGATGGGTGATGCAACAGGACAATGACCCAAAGCATACAAATAATTCAACAAAACAATGGCTGCAAAAGCACAGAATACGCCTTCTGGAGTGGCCCAGTCAGAGTCCTGACCTCAACCCGATTGAAATGCTGTGGCATGACCTTAAGAGAGCGATTCACACCAGACATCCCAAGAATATTGCTACACTGAAACAGTTTTGTGAAGAGGAGTGGTCCAAAATTACTCCAGATCGTTGTGCAGGTCTGATCTGCAACTACAGGAAACGTTTGGTTGAGGTTATTGCTGCCAAAGGAGGGTCAACCAGTTATTAAGTCCAAAGGTTCACATACTTTTTCCTCCCTGCACTGTGAATGTTTACATGTTATGTGCAATTAAACCATGGCAACATCTAATGTTTGTGTAGTATTATGTTCAGCAGACTGTGTTCTTCTATTGTTGTGACTTAGATGACGTTCAGAGCACATTTTAGGCCCAATTCATGCAAAAATCCATGTAATCCCAAGGGGTTCACATACTTTTTCTTGCAACTGTAGGTACATATCTAAAGTTCTGTTTTACACAGTTTTGAAAATCATATCAGGTAGGTGACGCCCCCCATTGTCCATACACTGAATAAGCCGATTTCTGGCGTTTTTCATGACCCTTACCAGCATAGCAGCGGGTATGTTGGCAATTTCTGCGCGGATGTTGGCCTTCAGGTCTTGTAGGGTCCTTGGACGGTTTACATAAATGCGGGATTTCAAAAAACCCCACAAAAAAAAAGTCGCAAGGGGCCAAATTGGGGGAGCGGGCTGGCCACTCCAAATCGCCCCTTATTGAGATGAGGCGCTCCGGGAAGTGTTCCCTTAAAACAGCCATTGATGCTCTTGAAGTGTGAGCCGTTGCTCCGTCCTGTTGGAACCAAATGTCCCCTAAGTCCAATTCATCAAGTCGTGGAAAAACAAATTCCTCCAACATGTTCACATACTGGTCTGAATTCACTGTCACTGTGACCTCATTTTCTTCAAAGAACCAGGGACCAATAATCCCTGGTTCCCTGGTAATCGCTGAATCGCTGAGGCAATTGCACACCACACTGTGACTTTAGATGAATGCAAAGGCCTTTGATGCAATTCTCGAGGATTGATGTCGGTCCAGTAGCGCATGTTCTGTTTGTTGATGCATCCAGTCAAGTGAAAATGGGCTTCATCACTGTAAAAAACAATTGCGTTCTCAGGGACGTTTTCGAGTACTGCCTCACATGCATTCCTCCGAGAATTGAAGTCGCGTTCGGAGAGTTCCTGCACAATCGCCAACTTGTACGGATGGTAATGAAGATCATCGTGAAGAATTTGCCTCGCTGAACAATCCAAAAGTCCAAGGGCAGATGCATGTTTGCGCGCAGAACGCTGCGGGGATCGCAAGATTGAAGCTCTCACTGCTTCGATGTTCTCAGGTGATCTGATGGGTCGAGGGACTCCAGCTCTTCGTCTTGTCGTACTCGCGGTTTGTCTGAACGTAGTGACCCACGTAACAATTGATTTCAAAAACTTTAGAACTACGCCTGTCGCCTGAGACCATTCCCGCCCCGCTATGGCCGCTACAGCCTGAATGGCACGCATTTCAAAAAAGGAGGTTATGTTGCTGCACCCTGTATTTATAAAGTCATAGTCTTAAGCCCCATACACACAGGTCAAATATCAGGTGGTATTAGTCAATAAAAACCAGTCAACATTCGGCCCGTGTGTACGACAGCTGGTCAGACAGAAGCCAGGGGAATGTCCGGCTTCTGTCGAAGGGGCATGACCGAAAAAGGACAGAAAAAATGGCTGAGAGTGCTGACTGGTGTGTTTTGGCGACACAGCAGAAGCCCAGCAAAGCACAATAGCTACTGAAAGTGTCCACGCATTATAAATTGGGGTGTTGGCCATTTTTGTTTAGCCCCAATATAACCCTGGACATTTGTAAAGATTGCTATATGTTTGTCAGTATGTATATTTTCCAAGCAATGGAAAGAATATGTACAAATAAGTCTTAATAAGAACAAAAATAAACCTGCCTAAGAGCAAAGACACCAGGGTGCCTAATGTGCTATTCCCATGCAAACCAACCACCTTAAAGCTAACCCATCTGAAGCACATACTCTCTCTACATGTGCTGTTTGTATCTAAAATGGTCAAATAAGCTATTCATTTGGTATTTGTAGTAACTCTGTATACCTTTCTGTGAAAGGCACTATAGTTATTGTCCAGTCATCTCTTATAGAAGGATAAATTAAAATTTTTGTTACCAAATGTGACCAATACACAACCTTAGCATGTTATAGCTGAGTGGGTGGGATTTTAAAAAGTTGATACTAATTGTTAAAGCAGAATGAAACCCAACGATTTAATGGTTTCCCAAAACAGGTACAGTACATCTGAGGAATGCCTCTGGTAATAACTGTCAAGGTTGGCAATTTGTCAGCTCCCTACTGAACTTCTAAGCCCTTAAATGGCTAATGTCATAGTTGATTACATGCAGCAGCATGGCTAATGCAGATCAAACAGAAGCTAAAATGGTACCTTCTATGGTTGTAAGGGATTGGAGGGTTTAGTTCCACTCTAACTACCAGACTAACCTGGATTAAAAAGAAGGCACTATCGAGCGTCAAGTACTGGACACAATGTGGTTGATTTACTAAAATTGGAAAATGCAAAATCTGGTGCAGCTCTGCATAGAAACCAATCAGCTTCCAGGTTTTATTGTCAAAGCTTAATTGAACAAGCTGAAGTTAGAAGCAGATTGTCTGCCATGCACAGCTGCACCAGACTCAAAGTGCTCCAGTTTTAGTGAATCTACCCCAATGTCACTGCATTGTGCACCAAGATGCCCTAAACCTGGTTAATTTGCTGTATGGAAATATTTAAAGCCAAAAGTTCATTCTGCAGGAATACATTGACAAGTGGAGGGTAGGTGCAAAGATTAGTTTGATAGATAACATCAATTACTGTGTGGTATTTATTGAATGTTTAAAGGTCTGTGGACAACATTTGCTGTAATTGAATATGGAATGCCCCATAAATCAGTTGTTTCTGTTTCTAGGTGGAAAGGAGAAAATGTTGCGACCACTGAGGTCTCTGATATTATTGGGATGCTGGACTTCATACAGGAAGCTAATGTCTATGGAGTGAATGTTCCAGGTAATAGTGGAAACTGATAACACCAGATGTAGAATTTAATTTTTTTTTCTCATAAAGGAGATATTTCCGTTTAAACAACCCCACCCCCTTTCTAAGCAGAATTAGAGTTTGGGGGGATTTTTCTGTGTTTATTTTTTTGTTTTAGGAGCGCATGAATTGTCCCTAGTCCTGCAGCCTTCTGGGGGAATACGTACATCACATCTCCCATGAGACAGCAGGATTAGGCACGGGTGGGGTTCGGCATGTCATGTGTAGCTGGCTGATGATATAGCCACTATTATGCGACTGTAAGTTATGAGTAACACCTTTTCTTTACTATTAGCCAATGTGCGTTACAAAAAAATATATATTTTATATACTTTCCAGTTCACATCATTATGGCATCACGGTTCTAAACCTTTAAGTACAACTTGCTAGTGCCAAGAAAATATCCCCCACAACATTACACCACCACCACCAGCCTGAACCGTTGATCCAAGGCAGGATGGAGCCATGCTTTCATGTTGTTTACACCAAATCCTGACCCTACCATCTGAATGTCGTAGCAACCAGTCTGCCCATTCTCCTCTGACCTCTGACATCAACAAGGCTTGTTCATCCACACAACTGTCGCTCACAGGATATTTTCTCTTTTTCAGATCATTCTCTTCAAACTCTAGAGATTGTTGTGTTTGCAAATCCCAGTAGATGAGCAGTTTTTGAAATACTCAGACCAGCCCGTATGGCACCAACAACCATCCCATGTTCAAAGTCACCTAAATCCCCTTTCTTCCCCATACTGATGCTCTGCTTGAACTTCAGCAAGTCGTCTTTACCACGTCTAGTTGCCTAAATGCACTGAGTTGCTGCCATGTGATTGGCTGATTAGCACTTTGTGTTACCAAGCAATTGAACAGGTGTACCTAATAAAGCGGCCAGTGAGTGTATACACCAAATACAACAAAAAGAAAGGTGTTCAAAGTCCTCCACTTTGTCTTCTTTAGAAAACATCTGTAGCTGCTCTCTGTGTGGAAGCATTGGTCCATTTGCAGAGGTCAGATATGCCCCTCCTGAGTCAGAACTATAGTTCTGTAATCAGCAAAGCTTATGCTCCCTGCTGATTGGCTGGCTCAAGCGCTGACATCATGTCTTTGCATAGAGCCTACTGCTTCCCTAAAGAGAGAAAGGATTTTTTTCTACAGTATGCTGGAAGAGGAAAGGCTTTTCTATTCAGACTGTGGCTACTCTCTAAAGAGAACAAAACTGGGGGCTGGTTCACACCAGCAGTGTGCGGTTGGATGACAGCAGTTTAAGTACTGGGCGGGAATGGGTTAATGGATTAATAATTACAGAGCTTTAATTTGGTCTTTTATATGTCTATAATTCAGCTTCAAATAATAAAAAGATACTTAGCAGAGTATGCACCAGAACAGGGGCGGACTGACCATTTGGAAACTCGGGCACTGCCCGGGGGCCCGGGGTTAGTAGGGGGCCCTATGAGATGCCCCTGGTACCTTTTTCATAGGCTTTTTTGAGTTTGGGCAAGGACACAGGGGCCCCATGATCCCCTATTGCCCGGGGGCCCCATGAGTTGTGAGTCCGCCCCTGCACCAGACATATAATACTGATTATAATTTAACAAGCAGAAGAACCCTCTGAAGCTGTCAAAATTATCCTAGGGAACACGGCTTGATAAAGTGTCATAGAAATTCTGGAAGCTCATTAACCTCTTGCCTCCATCGGATACCAAGCTAACCAGCTTTCACTCATTCTCACTCACTCTCAGTCTACACTCATGTTTGCATAGGAGAAACAAAGAACATGATTTATAATGTCTCATATTCATAAATATGTTGTTTTTTTTATTTTTTGTTCCTGTATCTGCTGTAATATTAGTGCAGCACATTTTCTCTGTCCCATTCATGAGTGACATAAGCATGTAAATTCAAAGTGAATGTAAATAAATATTAGGGTATCAGCATGAATAGATTATACAGCCTTGGTCTGGGATACAAATCCTAAATGGGGTAAAATTGACATGTGCGTTTGTATTTTGTTTTAGGGCATGAAGGCAAAGTTGGCATGGCATCCATTATTCTAAAGCCTGGTCAGTCTTTAGATTTAAAAAGCATCTGTGAGCACTGTACAGCTTATCTACCTGCATATGCTTTTCCACGATTTCTAAGACTGCAGGTACAGTTTTACAAGTATTTTATGTTTATAAGTTGTTTATTAGTTAGTTTTTTTTAAAGAAAAATAGAAAAAATAGTCAATAGTGACCAATCTGCATAAGTGAAAAATGAAAAAAAGTGGTTCCTCCATAGACCAGGGACCATTACACTTTTAAAACAGTGTTGTTTCCTTGACCATCAAACTGAAAGGGGAACTGGACTGTAGCTAGTAAAGGTAGGGGCTAAAGAAAAAAAAAATTCACCAGGGTTGGTGGCTAGTGGAAGTTAAAAATGGCCCACCATTGGAGGTTGCAGGAGCCATGTATTATATTACATAAAAATAATATTTCATATGTGGATCAAATATTTAAAATTGAAAATCCAACAAATGAAAATGAAGTACCACAGGTGAATAAATAATCAGACAAAATAATGTCCCATAGATGTGCAACTATTGTAGATCTTCTGTGTTGTAACGGTAAATCCAATGTGCCTCCACCAGAGAAGTAATATTGCTGCTAATCAGATTCCCAGACCCCAATACCATGGAGGTCTAAGCAAGCTCTGCATTCCCCAGCCAACTCCAGGTGGACAAATGCAACCTTCTATGCGTTAAACACTTCCTCAGACATTGGTTTCCAACATCAACAGAATTGGTAACACTCAGTAAAGAAAGCACATGAAAAACTCCATAGTGTAGCAAACTTTGTGCCTCCTTTATTTTAAAAGCAGGATAAAACTATTCACAAGACAGGGTAGGTATGCAGGTTTCAAACAAACCAGCAGTCAGCTCGCTCTGGCGGATGTGATGGCATCACAGCTAGGCTCTGCCCCACATACATCTCGTTCAAATGGACATCTTCCAGGGGCATATGTGTATAGCTGAGGCCCAGAAGCCCGCACAGAAGTTCTATATCATTGGCACACTTCATGATCACTGAGCACCTGCACACATTTTTCTTGTTTTTTTAATTCTCACATTCGAAATTGCAAGTTAACAATATTTCAGGCATGTAAAATTGCAATACTATTGGGTATAAACAAAATTCCCTGTAGTTTAAAAAGCATGCAGCAGGAAGATTGACCTGTGGTGAATGTTTGGTGAATGTCATATTTTATAAATAATACTCCTATGTGTTTTGTGGCTTTTCCAAAAGGTCTCCCAATTGCTGTGCAGTCATAGCAGGAGGACCTGGATTCTCTAGGACCTCTTTGTTTGAGCTCTGCTGGCTGATCAGCTCAGAGGTCAAATAAAACTAATAAAGCACCAGAGACATATAAATGTGAGGAAAGTGTGTCAGGTTTTTGCACTGTAGGGTGACAGCACTGTCTGTCATTTCCCCTTATAACAGAAAATTAGAGAGGGCTCATACTGACAAGATCACTAAAGGCAAATACCCTAGGATGTATGCTCCTTCTGTAGCAAAAGGTGACGCATTGATGCACAGTGTGCCAGCATGTTCATTTTAATTGATACAATTGAGACCGGTCTCTATAGTATATGGTCCACTCACAGAGAGGCTAACGTATAGGTCTTGTCACTGCTTCTATAGGTGCAGCTATGGCTCTGCTGGAGTGTCAAAACTAGAAGCCAGTCCAAGAGCCGTAGTCCCATACACAGAGAAATCATTTACATTTCACTAAATGCACATTTATAAAAATGATTAACAAAAAAGAGAAATGTTCTTATTTTAACATACTATTATGCTGCAAAATGTTTAATAAGAGAAGTTATTATACTTTAAAGCATAGACTAAAGCCAAAACATTAGTTTTGGGTAGAGTAGGGAAGAGTAAGAACCCCTGCTGGACGTTTATGGTTGTCTGTGTCCCCAACTACAAGATTTAACCTCTCAGTGTCAGGTTGACCATTGTCACTGGATTGAATGTTAGGGCTCGTTTACACTTGCTTCAAAAAATGACGCTCTGAATGCCAATCAAAGCACCTGTCACTAAATGAAATGGTGAGCTTACAGTCCTGTTCACATGTGTTTGCTTTGCTTCAAAAATGATAAACCATGTCGCTTTCATGGTGCTTCAAAGCATCTTCATAGTCTCTATAGACTTCTATGACAAAGCTCGCTTACAGCACCTGTAGCTTTTGAGAGGCTTTTATTCAGCTTTAGCTTCGCTTTGTTTTGCAAGTACTGCAGGTAAGAGATATTCAAGTATGCACTGGGAGACCAGCAAGCGAACCAGAAAGACGTCGTCAGCAGCCTCTTATGGGTCATGAATATATACTGTATTATGGAAGTGTCTGGTGCAGACAGCACATCTGATGTGCAGCCTGGAGCAGCAAGAAGGTGTGAGTGGAGCAACTAACAGATGGCACATACTGTACATAGGGGTTGATATACTAAAGGCAGATAAACTGTGCACTTTGCTCCATAGCTTAACCACTTCAAATCTGGACACTTTCACCCCCTTCCTGTCCAGGCCAGTTTTCAGTGCTATCACACTTTGAATGACAATTGCGCGGTCAAACAACACTGTACCCATATGAATTTTTTAGCATTTTTTTGAGACATATAAAACTTTATTTTGGTGGTATTTATTCTTTGAATTCAGGTGTTCAAGTCACATCCATGGCCACAGGTGTATAAAATCAAGTACCTAGGCACGGAGACTGCTTCTACAAACATTTGTAAAAAAATGGGTTGCTCTCAGGAGCTCAGTGAATTCAAGCGTGGTACCATGATAGGTTGCCACCTGTGCAATAAGTCTATCGGTGAAATGTAATTGCTAATAAATATTCCACGGTCAGCTGTTAGTGGTGTTTAAACCAAAGTGGAAGCAACTGGGAACAACAGTAGCTCAGTCACGAAATGGTAGGCTACGTAAAATGATAGAGTGGGGTCAGCCCATGCTGAAGTGCACAGTGCGCAGAAGTCGCCAACTGTCTGCAGAGTCAATAGCTAAAGACCCCCAAACTTCATGTGGCCTTCAGGTTAGCACAACAACAGTGTGTAGAGAGCTTCATCAAATGGGTTTCCATGGCCAAGCAGCTGCATCCAAGCCTTACAGTTGCAAGAAAAAGTATTTAAACCCCTTGGGATTACGCGGAGTTTTGCATGAATTGGGCATAAAACGTGCTCTGAATGTCATCAAGTCACAACAATAGAAGAACACAGTCTGCTGAACATAATACTACACAAACATTAGATGTTTCCCTGGTTTAATTGCACATAACATGTAAACATTCACAGTGCAGTGAGGAAAAAGTATGTGAGGCTCTAGCTTAATGACTTCTCCAGAGCTAATTGGAGCCAGGAGTGAGCCAACCTTGACTCCAATCAGTGTGATGATATTGGATGTGTTGCTGACAGCTGTCCTGCCCTTAAAAACCACACACCTGTTTTGGGTTTACTGGTTTCAAGAAGCACTGTCTGATGTGAACCATGCCTCGCAGAAAAGAGCTCTCAGAAGATCTACGATCAAGAATTGTTGACTTGCATGAAGCTGGAAAGGGTTACAAAAGTATCTCCAAAAGCCTTGATGTTCATGTGTCCACGGTAAGACAGACTGTCTACAAATGGAGAAAGTTTAGCACTGTTGCTACTCTCCCTAGGTGTGGTCGTCCTGTAAAAATGACTGCAAGAGCACAGCGCAGAATGCTGCATGAGGTAAAGAAGAATCCCAGAGTGTCAGCTAAAGACCTACAGAAATCTCTGGCACATGCTAACATTTTTGTTGACACATCTACAATAAGGAAAACATTAAACAAGAATGGAGTACATGGGAGGACACCACGGAGGAAGCCATTGCTGTCCAAAAAGAATATTGCAGCACGTTTGAAGTTTGCAAAAGAGCACCTGGATGTTCCACAGCACTACTGGCAAAATATACTGTGGACAGATGAAACCAAGATTGAGTTGTTTGGGAAGAACACACAACACTATGTGTGGAGAAAAAAAGGCACAGCACACCAACATCAAAACCTCATCCGCACTGTAAAACATGGTGGAGGGAGCATCATGGTTTGGGGCTGCTTTGCTGCCTCAGGGCCTGGACGGATTGTTGTCATTAATGGGAAAATGAATTCCAGAGTTTATCAAGACATTTTTCAGGAAAACGTACGACCATCTGAAGCTCCGCAGAGGATGGGTGATGCAATTCCAATGACCCAAAGCATACAAGTAATTCAACAAAACAATGGCTGCAACAGCACAGAATACGCCTTCTGGAGTGACCCAGTCAGAGTCCTGACCTCAACCCGATTGAAATGCTGTGGCATGACCTTAAGAGAGCGATTCACACCAGACATCCCAAGAATATTGCTACACTGAAACAGTTTTGTGAAGAGGAGTGATCCAAAATTACTCCAGATCGTTGTGCAGGTCGGATCTGCAACTACAGGAAACGTTTGGTTGAGGTTATTGCTGCCAAAGGAGGGTCAACCAGTTATTAAGTCCAAAGGTTCACATACTTTTTCCTCTCTGCACTGTGAATGTTTACATGTTATGTGCAATTAAACCATGGCAACATCTAATGTTTGTGTAGTATTATGTTCAGCAGACTGTGTTCTTCTATTGTTGTGACTTAGATGACGTTCAGAGCACATTTTTATGCCCAATTCATGCAAAACTCCACGTAATCCCAAGGGGTTCACATACTTTTTCTTGCAACTGTACATCACCAAGTGCAATGCAAAGCATCGGATCCAGTGGCGTAAAGCATTGGTCTGGAGTGACCAGTCACGCTTCTCTGTCTGGCAATCCGCTAGATGTGTCTGGGTTTGGTGGTTGCCAGGAGAACGGTACTTACCTGACTGCATTGTACCAAATGTAATGTAATGTAATGTTTGGTGAAGGGAGGGTTTATGGTGCAGGGTTGTTTTTTTTTGGGATTGGGCTTGCCCCCTTAGTTCCAGTGAAGGGAATTCTTAAGGTGTCAGCATACCAACACATTTTGGACAATTTCATGCTCCCAACTTTGTGGGAACAGTTTGGGGATGGCCCCTTCCTGTTCCAACATGACTGTGCACCAATGCACAAAGCAAGGTCCATAAAGACATGCAATGAAAATGAGATTTTTTTCAACAAAAGATTTGTTGAGGGTATTTCCGATCACTTTGGAGAGATTTATGCTCACTTTCCATAGTGTCTCCAAAACAGGAAGAATGGGAAAATCACCCCATCATGAATACTGAAAACACACAAAAGAAAAACCTGAGCGAGTTTGGGGAGGAGGAACTTGACTGGCCTGCATATAGTCCTGACCATAACCCGATAGGACACTTTTGGGATGAATTAGAAGAGAGACTGTAAGCCAGGCCTTCTCATCCCTGCCTGACCTCACAAATACGCTTCTGGAAGAATGGTCAAACATTCCCATAGACACACTCCCTAAACCTTGTGGACAGCCTTCCCAGAAGAGTTGAAGCTGTTATAGTTGCAAAGGGTGGGCCAGCTCAATATTGAACCTTATGGACTAAGACTTGGATGCCATTAACCACTTGCCCTCCTGAGGATTTACCCCCCTTCCTGACCAGGCCATTTTTTGCGATACAGCGCTGCATTACTTTAACTGACAATTGTGTAGTCATGCAATGTTGTACATAAATTAAATTTATGCCCTTTTTCCCCACAGTAAAAAGATGTAAAAAATCAAATTTTGCCATAAATTTAGGCCAAAATGTTTTTGCTAAAAAAATACCAATACATGTAAATTAAATTGGTTTACATGAAAGTTATAGCAACTACAAATGGCGGTATATGTACTTTTTTTTTTATATACTAGTAATGGCGGCAATCAGCGCCTTATAGCGGGACTGCGGCGGGCATTCTGACACTGGGGGGAACTGACTAACTGCCACTGACATCCCAATGACACTAATACAGTGATAATAAAAAGCACTGACACTGTACTAATGACTCTGGGAAGGAAGGGGTTAACATCTGGGGCGATCAAAGGGTTAACTGTGTGCTGTTTTACTGTATGTGCTGTGTGTATTTTACCAGGGAAACATGCTGCTGTGTATTTCTCTGCACAGCAGAGAAATACACAGCAGCATGTTATTTCTGGCATGTTATTGCTGGCATGAGAGAGACTTGTGTTGTTTACAAAGGTCTCTCCTCTGTCACTGTTTCTTGATGATCGCCAGGTGCTTGTGGAGAATCTCCAGCCGAGACCCAGTGATTGAAATCTGTAGCCGCCAATGGCGGCGCAGGTAGGGTGGTGCGCGCATGCACCCCCTACCAGGAAATGCAAACTCACGTACATACATGATTTTGCGCACCCTGGGACAGGCGTCCCAGTACGGTTAAAGTTTGGTGTGTAAGGACATAGTACTTTTGGCAATATAGTGTATGAGCCATGCTCCCTGAAGCGGAACTAAACTCACTCAAACAAAAAATGAAATAAATAGCATTTTCAGTTTGTGGTGCACAGATACAGTTTAGTTACAAAGTTACATAGTTAGTCTGGCTGAAAAAAGATGAAAGTCCATCCAGTTCAACCATAAAAAAAAAAAAGTTATAATCCTATATCCACAGTTGATCCAGAGGAAGGCAAAAAACCTCCCAGCAAAGCACGACCAAATTTGCTCCTGCTGGGAAAAAAATTCCTTCCTGGTCCCTCAAGAGGCAATGGGATATTCCCTGGATCAACTTTACCTATAAATGTTATATTCTGTGTATCTAAGAAACAATCCAGGTCTTTTTTGAAGCAATCCACTGAGCTGGCCAGAACCAACTCTTGAGGGCATCTATTCCACATTTTCACAGCTCTCACTGTGAAGAAACCTTTCCTTGTTTGGACATTAAATTTCTTTTCCTCCAGACGTAAAGAGTGCCCCCTTGTCCTCTGTGATGACCTCTACACTGAGTTCACTATATGAACCACTGATGTATTTATACATGTTCATCATATCCCCCCTTAATCTCCTCTTCTCAAGAGAGAATAAATATAGTTCCTTTAATCTTTCCTCATATTTCTGCTGTAAATGATTTAGCTGCACCCAGCTTTTGCTACAACAATGGCCACTTCCTCAATACCACTTAAACCCTTAGCCAAAAAAACAATGTTGGTATTAGATACTGTATACTTTAAAGCTGACATGTTTTTAAAATGTTTTTTCTCTACAGCTTTATTTACATTAATGAAGAATGTACCATGATGTGTAGGGGGCTGGGTTCTTTAGAAATCTTCACTGCAGAGCTGCCCTGTCCTCTTCCTGCAGCTCAACGTCTGGTGCTGTGTGGTTAACAGCTTCAGGTCTCCAGATTCAGCTGCACTAAAGATGATTTGAAGGGGACAAACCCCTTCTACCACCTGCTCCACTGAGAAAAGTTCTTTCACTGAATACAGGCCTGTGACACTATCTGTGAACAGAAGAGAGTTTGATCAGTCACAAGGTAATCTCCCCAATTCAAAGATAGTGTTACAGACAGTGTAATCAGTAAAATAACTTTTCTCATTGTGATCAGGAGGGGGTGTATCTCCATCAGATCAACGTTTGTGCAGCTGAGCCCGGAGACCCCCACAGTATCAGAAGTTCAGCAGCAGGATGGGACAGCTCTGCAGTGAAGATTTCAACAGAATCCAGCAGCCTACACATCATGTGACAAACTTCATTACAGGTAAATAAAGGAACTAAAGCTGTAGAGATAAAAAATGATTTTTAACTAAACTTCAGCTTTAAGGAAATCAATTTTGTGAGTCCATTATGATCATACAGCAATAATATAGTGCCCTGATTTTTTTTTTTTTTTTTTAAGGAAAACATGGAAGTAACTGGTACATTTAAACAACAGAAGTTTCGTCTTGTGGAACAAGGATTTGACCCATCAGAAATATCAGATCTACTCTATTTCTTGGACGATTCTAAAAAGTCATATGTGCCAATGACCAAAGACATTCATGACAAAATCACCAATGGTCTGCTAAAACTCTAAACTTTTTTATATGTGCGGGTATACATATTATTTCCTCTGGATGAAAATACTGAAACTGTGATGCTTTAACCACTGTCTTTACAGGTTTATTACACAAAAATGACGCAAAGTCATTTCAGTATAACTAAGGCTAGCTGCTAAAACATAACGTATGATTTACATTTTTTTCTCTATAACAAAAACATTTTGACTACATTATGCAGATATAACGTTCTAAAACCTGTTGTTGAAGATACTCTAACTTTATTTTTCTCTTCCTGTTTTTTCCATAAGTTCATTGTGACATTTTTGTTTTTTTTTCATAATCTACTGTCTCCTGGAGGTCACCATGTCAGTCTAAGGCTGGCCATACATTATACAATTATCTGCAGATTTTTGGTTTAGATTTACCAAAAACCATATAATAGGAGGACAAACCTAAACAACACTTTCAGTTGTATCCAATTAGGCAGGCCCTTGCACTACATAGTTGAAGGTAAATCTAAAGGAAATTGGGCAGAAAATCTGCAGATAATTGTATAATGTATGGCCAGCCTTAGTCATGAAACATAAACATCTTCGATACTGTGCTTGGGGAGGAATGCCTTTTAGTGAAGTAAGTTTTATGCATTCCTTTTTTTCTGTCATCCCCTCTCTGAAGCAGTTGAACTTTTATTCTCCCCCCCCCCCCCCCCCCACACACACACACACACACATTTTTTGGATCAGTCATAAATAACCAAGTTTAAAAACGAAATGAGACAAATTATTATTATTATTATTATTAATGCTAAACCTCTGGGAAATTTCAAAATGCCTGTTTTTTACCTAGGGTACAATTAAAAAGCAGTTTTACTTACCTAAGCCTCCGCTTCCATGAGCTTCTTATTCCATGTGAGTGGTACACTGAAGCCTCTCCTCTCCAGATCTCCATGTACAATGCAGTACCAGAAGTCCTGCATTGTAAATGAGAACACAAGGGCCCACCCACAGCTTGGAGTATCAGTGAGAAGAGAAAAGCACTGGAAGCCAGGGGAGCAATGGATAAGGTAAGTAAAAATGCTTTTTAACATTCCCCTAAAGAAAAACAAGCATTTAACCTTTTCGGTGTGGAGAGAACACCACTGAGATGCTAGTCTTGTAATGTGCCTGGAGTTCAGCTTTAAATTGAAACAACATGAACATCAACTGCATGTATAGTCCACAGCAAAAGGAACCAGGGTGCATTCAAAAATACAAAGTCCCAGTCTGTTCCAATATTGGCTAATGTCCCTACATATCCTTGCCTCATCCACATGATCTCCTTCATTTGCACACTTTTATAGAGTCCAAAAGCCCATCATTGTGGTGAAATCCTTGTGAGAGCACTAAGTTCAAATAGAATGTGGGCTCAGTCAAAATTGCAGCTAAAGTCCACAGCTGCAGACACCTTTGGTTTACATTGTGGAACCTCTTCTTCCCCCTAATTCTGTGTTCCATGGATGACCTTGTGCCACTTGACAGCTACCCTGTCAGATCACTATGGGATGCTGAATGTGTTCTCATAGAAATCCTTGCCTGCTTGGTCATATTACCAACCATGGCACCACTGGGTAGGGACATGCAGCAACCACCTATATGTGCATTCTCTCCTGCTGCACCATTTCGCCCCCCAAGGGGTAAAGTACACACACTTTGAGAATCACTGGTTTGTTTAATGCTACTGGAAAAAATAATCACTTAATTGGACTAATAGCCAAGTGAAGGTTGACCAAGGAAGACAAGGATACAGATAAAACTGTCAAAGTGTTATTTGTAATGTGTACAGAAACATTAAAAAGAAAATATTTTGATGAAACAATTAATTTCTTTTGAATTGATTCTTGTTTATGAGGTTACCTTTGTTATGTATTCATTACACTGGCATAGTATTGTACATTGCAAAATATATCAGACAATATGAATACATATTTCCATAAGTCACTCCAATGTGACTTCTAATATCATGGTTAATACTGTATATAGAAAATCTGTTATGTGAGGGCAAGAGCATAGTGTTGTAGAGCTGGCTGATACACTGCAATTTGCTATATTTTTGACATAGATGTTTAACAAAAAAGGAATCTATACCCCTATTAAATAAAAATACTTTACTTATAGGTATACTGACCTTCCATCCTTCCAGTTATGATGATTTGGGGGACTCATAAGAGCACAGTGTCACTTCTAGTCCATGGTGCATCTTAGTTTTACTTTTCTGGCTCCAAGCTGGTAAAAGAAGGATTGTTCTGCAGTGACCCATACAATAAGATACAGCACAGGGCAGACGTGACCCTGCACACCTTCAAGATGGCAGATTAAGTAAAGATGTCTGCAGCCAACAGGAGACATTGCTTTGCAGAATTCCAAGCTTCTGTACCTCCATGCCCTGCATTGCCTACAATGGAACCAGGGTGAGAAGTAAGCTAAGGCAACAATATGTATATTTAAGACAACCAAGAGGTATAGGTTCACAAGGGAATTTTCTCTTAGTTTACTGAGTGAGATGAAGCTCTGCTGACTACATCATCCAATCACATGCAAGCAAAAACATTGTTTTTTTTTTTCCTTGCACTTGACTGGATATTCTTGCAAAGTAAATTTTCACCACATTCAACAATCTTAAGGAAACATTCCCTTGCAAAGTCAACAGCTTGTTTGCATTTAACAAGTCAACCCCATAGCTGTTAGTCCACGCACTGGCAGATTAGGCATACTTCGGTAAATCATTGAATTGCTGCATGTGCACATATTCATTTGTAGGTGGCTAATTCTGGCAATAAGGAGACATGTGGCTGCCATTTCTGATCTCCTTTTGAAATTTCAAGTTGACTGGCAGTTTTTTTGTAATGTTGCCCTCTCTCTTTAATACTTTTTGAGTCACTGACCCGGAATAAACATGCAGATATGAAAAATCAGAGTAAAGTCGGTAGTCTTTATCGGAATAGTTATTCTGGGTCAAAATATAGAAGCAAGAAAATCGGCATGACAGCTGGGCATCTAACAGCTAACAGAAGTAGATGTCAGCAGACTACTCATAAAATAAACATTAGAAGACAGTCAGAAGAATATATTTTTCTCCCATCATTTACATCAGCTTGTCTTACAAGTATGGTCTTGCATATACCATACTACTTATCTGTATTGTGAGAAAAAAGACTGTATTAGGTATTTGTTTTACTGTGGCAGTCAGTAGTTGTAACAGGGTACTCTAGTTATAATATAAATGTATCAAAATTACAGATTTTAGATGACAGTCATATAAGTATTTACCATGAACCAGTTGGGAATAAAAATATGGAGGCCAATGCAGACCATTCTATCTAAAAATGTTAGTTGCCCAGCTGCTATGCTGATTAGTCAGCTCTAATACCTTTGGAGATTAAGAATTCTGACTTCAGTAGTCACATACTTGTCCCAGGACAGAGACTGAGAAAGAAACTTAAATACCTAGCATTTTCAAAAGCAGATAGACTTGGAGACTGCCATTTCCTCTGTCAATATCAGTTTCCTTCTGGAAATGGGCAGACACAGACCATTGCCACCCCAATCTCAGTGAGAGCCCAGCATCCACAGAATATCCAAGGCATAGCTATAACTTTCCTGCTCCTACAGAGAATGAGAAGGATAGCAAAGTTGGTCAAAGGAAGGATGTACTTTTAAGAATGGGGCAGACTATGTCAGTAGAAACAGTGTAAATGGGGTGGCTATTGCATTAGCAATCGAAGGGATGGGTGGCATGCCTAGGATCCTATTCTGACTTAATGGGGTTTATTTACTAAAGCTGGAGAGTCCAAAATCAGACTCACTTCTGCATAGAAACCAATCAGCTTCCAGGTTTCATTGCCAAAGCTTCATTGAACAAGCTGAGGTTAGAAGCTGATTGGTTTCTATGCCGAAGGGAGTCTGATTTTGGACTCTCCGGCTTTAGTAAATAAACCCCAATGTGTCTCCGCTCAAAAGGGGCTTGGTCTGGAGAAAAGTATTTTGGGTAGATGCAGCATGGTGCAGCAGCACATAGGGGTTTATTTACTAAAGCTGGAAAGTCCAAAATCAGACTCCCTTCTGCATAGAAACCAATCAGCTTCTAACCTCAGCTTGTTCAATGAAGCTTTGGCAATGAAACCTGGAAGCTGATTGGTTTCTATGCAGAAGGGAGTCTGATTTTGGACTCTCCAGCTTTAGTAAATAAACCCCATAGAGTCCTGGATTGCCAAAAACGATGTATTTCAAAACTTTAAAAAGAGTACAACAGGCCCGGCAGGGAAGCTTACCCGACCAGACACTTACAGCAGTTTGGCATAAAGAGTTAGCAGAGTGTAGGCCTGAGCTAAAGACAGTGCCTGACAAGGAGAGTGGAGTGCGGCATGGCTAGTCCAACCCAAAAGAGAGCTTACTGAAGTGCCAAAATAGGCCCTATGCTTTCCCTACTCCTCCAGAACCATTCCCTAATACTAGTGCTTTCCCTGACAGATGGAAATCCTGTCCCTACACTAGCCACTATCAAAATGTGTGTCAAACTCCGGGGGGCAGGGACTTAAAAAGATTTTGCATGACCCAAGATGGCCACCAGGGTCACCTGAATCAACTGTACCCAACCAAAGCACTGCTCCAGGGGAACCGAGGAAACCATAGAGAAACCCCAGTTTCTCTCGACTCCAGCTGCATTGCTGTTATGGACGGGCACCACCTGCAGTGCAGACTGTAGACTACACCTGCCTACAAGTCTTCTAGCTGGGCTGGGCTTTTGGTCATAATTGCTACTACTATCTTGAGATAAGATAAAGTCTTGTCTGTGTATTGTCAGAGGATATGAGTGTGTGTTATCAAATATGTGGATGGGAGGAAATGTTTTGGTGATCAGATTACCAAACATCCAACTGTTCTCGACTTTATACTGTGTAATACTTTGATGTCTAATTTTTTGAATTATACATTTGTACTTCAAAACTAAGGCAACAAATATTCCACCAAAAAGGAAATGATGTTGCATAGCTCCCATA